GAATAAAGTGAAAGGTGTATGAGAAGAAAAGTATGTTCTCGTTATTTCGTTGTTGTTGATGTTGTTCAGAATCAACATTCATCCATGTGTTCACAATAAGTAACAATATTATCATCATACTTCGGTATAAAATGTTGACAGATTTTGTACAAATATTCAATTATTTGTTATTGGACAATGTTATTCACAACAGGCAAGGTTGTAATAGTTGTGCTATGTTTGTTGTTCGGTTTTTTTAATGTATATTTAAAAATACAGCATTTAAAAAGGTAACAGGTAATCATGAGCTTACAGAACTATTGGTGATGTTAATTCCCGGTCAAAATAGGGAAAGTATTTGTACCTCATCAACGTATGTCCAGAAGTTGATTTAAAAATCTGATGTGTAATCACAACTATTTTGTTTGCAGGCTTTATTCCGTCCAGTTGCTATGATGGTGCCCGACTACGCTATGATTGCCGAGATCTCACTGTACTCATTTGGGTTTGGTGATGCTAGGTCCCTGTCAAAGAAGATAGTGACAACATTCAAGCTGTCATCTGAACAGCTCAGCTCACAGGTAAACCTTGTCATCAACTTTGAAATAAGTCTAGTTATGGCGTAATGTACAGATGCTTTATTCCCTGAAGCAAAAATGCTGCAAGTCATGCACATAATTCACTTGTTCAAAGACTGCTGTTGATGGAAGCTATTGGTTAACTGACTACATATCTTCATCATCTGTCATATTTAATAATGTTTTAAATTTAAACCGCATGATGTCAAATAGTACTTTGTACTTAAGACTCCGGATCCTGTCAAAACAATTCAGATTTGGAGCCAATAACTTGTAAACTGGAGTCATGGAAATATATTCCAAGTTACAGTTCTCACATAACTTGGTGTTCAGTATGTGTCCCAGGCAAAGAATATACAAAATTCAAACAAATGCAACTACTATTCGTTAAGTTTTCGAAAACTATTAGCCCATTTATTATCTACCTAATTGTCATTAATTTAACTCCTCTCTCAACTCACAATTAAACTTGCTTGGTCTCTCACCTAGTAGAGAAATCACCGCTTGTCTTATACTGTTGATATAAATGTGTTTTCATGTTGATTTTAGGACCATTATGATTTTGGTATGAGAGCTGTTAAGACCGTAATCTCAGCTGCTGGTAATCTGAAGAGAGAAAATCCTGATATGAATGAAGAACTGATTTGTTTGCGAGCTATCCGTGATGTCAATGTACCTAAGTTCTTACAGGATGATTTGAAACTATTCAACGGTATTGTGTCTGATTTATTCCCTAGAATAAAGTAAGTTGGAGAATTATTTTGTGATGCGAGCCCCAAAATGGGTGATATCTTTATATACTGTGAAATACTTTATTTTCGCTGGAATTAATTTTCGCTGAAAAAGCTTTTTGGGCGTTTTGTATGAAATTAATTTTCACTGATTTTTTATGAGTTTAATGTGAAATATAGGAAAAAAAGTATATTCGCTGGATTTTATTTTCACGGAATCATCCCTTCAGCGAAAATAAAGTATTCTACAGTAGTTTGAGATGTGGTGGGAAACAATTACAAAGTGAAGAAATTGCCTACAATAGAAAGAGACTAGTCCACACTATTGCCAGAATTAACCAGCAACCTGGTTAGAAAGGCACACTGTGTAAACATTTAATTGTCAGTGACAGTTTGAATTTCAACTAATCTAAGCCGGCCTGTCATTAGCATCAGCAAGAATTAATTATAAGAAATGTGGTGTAAATTTGTGGGAACCATCTTTTATTTCAATCCTTTTATGGGCTTTTTTCTATTCTTGAGAGTGGAGCTATATGTCACAGAACATTCTACATTGCTAAGCTCGCACCACTGTACCATGTATTTCTATGGACTCTGCGCGAGCTGCTGTGGAACGCCGGTCGAAGAGCCGGTGAAGATAGCTAAAATCAAGAAAACGACACAAACTCAAATTTGGAGTAATCCTGAGCAACCAAATTTATATATGTTGGAAATATAGGGATAATCTTATTATGCAGTTCAGGAGAGTCTCAACAACCATGCCAAAGTACTGTTTTCGGCCTTTGTTTTCACCATGATGGTTGCAAGGAAGTGAAAATCCCTTGATGTCGGTTCTCGAGAAAAGACATCTCAGTAACATAACTTCTTCCTTTATGACATG